GAGAGAGAGAGAGAGAGAGAGAGAGAGAGAGAGAGAGAGAGAGAGAGAGAGAGAGAGAGAGAGAGAAATTTATGGTTGAAAAAAAAGGCTGACTGTTGTGAAGCCTGGTCTGACGTGAGACAGCAAGGAGTGTGTTGCATGGGGTGGGACTGCACATTCCGATTGGTGGTGGATGAATGCACGGAGGCACGGGACCGGATTTGACTATTGGGATAAGAGGACGTCGAAGGAGATGAAAAGGACAAAGTTCCGATACATACAGTTCAGCAAGGCGCATCAGGTAATGGTAATGGTGACGGTGATGTGAATACATTATTGGAGAGCAGACGACAGGAATACTGGACAAGACATGATGGGAGGGGCTGCTCTGGAGATGCTCCCACCTGCCACACCTTGTCCTGATTACTTTCGGTTGCGTTCCTGATCAGGTTCCACATCAGGTTCAACATCAGGTTCCAGATCAGATTCCACATAAGGTTCCAGATCGGGTTGCACTCAATAAGATTCCCAATCGGCTTCGAGGACAAGATCAGGTTCCAGGTCCAGTTCCAGATCCGGTTCCAGATCCGGTTCCAGATCCAGTTCCAGATACAGTTCCGAAGAAGGTTCCAGATCCGGTTCCAAATCCGGTTCCAGATCAGGTTCCAGATCAGGTTCCAGATGGCATTCATCAGGTTCCAGATGGTATTCATCAGGTTCCAGACGGCATTCATCAGGTTCCACGTTCAAGGTGCCAGGTTCTGGGTTCCAGGTTGCAGGTTCCAGGTCCGATTCCAAATCCGATTCCAGATCCTGTTCCAGATCAAGTTCCAGATCCGATTCCGGAGAAGGTTCCAGAGATTCAGTTCCAGATCCGGTTCCAGATCAGGTTCCAAATCCGGTTCCAGATCAGCTTTCAGATGGCATTCATCAGGTTCCAGATCAGGTTCCAGATCAGGTTCCAGATCAGGTTCCAGGTTCCACGTTCCAGGTTCCAGGTTCCAGGTTCCAGGTCAGATTCCAAATCCGATTCCAGATCCTGCTCCTGGATCCAGTTCCAGATCCGATTCCAGAGAAGGTTCCAGAGATTCAGTTCCAGATCCGGTTCCAGATCAGGTTCCAAATCCGGTTCCAGATCAAGTTCCAGATTCCGGGTTCCAGGTTCCAGGTTCCAGGTTCCAGGTCAGATTCCCAATCTGATTCCAGATCCTGTTCCACATCCAGTTCCAGATCCGATTCCGGAGAAGGTTCCAGAGATTCAGTTCCAGATCCGGTTCCAGATCAGGTCCCAGATGACATTGATTTGTCTGAATGAGGTTCCCAATTGGATTTGTGGGTGGCTTCACGAGATCGACCGATAGAATGTGTGGCCTCCCTCCTGCTTGATGTGCGGCGGACAGTTCAGTGAACTTCATTCCAATTCTCCCGACTGTCCAACGTGGAATTGCAATTCCTTAATAACCGCATACTCACAAGAAAAGAGAAAAAAAGAAAAGAAAAAGGACTGGTTTACTTATTTATGGATGTAAATGCAGTCAGACGCATCCAGGTCCGGCCATAATTGCAGTCAGATGCATCCAGCTCCGGCCGTACATGCAGTCATATATATCTCTTAAAAGATAGCGCTGGCGTGAGTACGCCCTATTCCGATGCCCCGATTTTGTGCGACGGATTGGGTTCCAGAATCCACATATTTATTCTGAAAATCTTATCGATTCAAGATTTCATTTTGCGATCTGCGTTGGTATGCTGCATATGCCGCACACGTTAGTCAATAACGGCGAATTCCAGATAAATGCCCTGGTCTAGCCGTGGACTATTGCGCTTAGGTCCAGCATTGAGCCATGGGCATGGGCATGGAATTGCGCTTAGGTCCCTGTCATCAGCCAGTGGCCATGCAGCAGGTTATACAGCCTCGGAGCTGCACGCCTCCTGTTGCTCGGCTTTTAAGTTTTAAGTTTTAACCAAATGCTATTTTTATTAATTTTTTATTTTTATTTTTATAGTTTTTTTCACGCGCAATTTGGCAACCTCAAAAATAGAGCTCTTTTTGGTAAAAATAAAAATAAAAATAAAAATAAATAGAGCTGTTTTGTTATCGCCTCAAATAATAGGTCTCAACTAGCAGATGTTTTTTTCAAAAAAAAAAAAAAAAAAAAAAAAAAAAAAAAAAAAAAAAAAAAAAAAAAGAGCTGTAGTCTGTCGGAAGATTCATGCGCATTTTCGGGTTTCGACGAAATGCCAGTATGGGAGTTGTGCCAGTCCATGAGAATAAGGGCCTCGCTCCCGTACCCTACCCTCCACATGCAGAAACTGCCAGAAAGGACAAAGCCAAGGGTGATGTATTTTTCCATGTTCTAGCGGAAGGTTCGTTCTCATTTTCCACTTTTGGTGAGCGAGGCCCTTAGTGTGGTGTCTTTTGGACTGGTCATCCAGAGCTGGGGAGCGTGTCGTTGAACAAGGACCTAGCTTTGCGGTCAGATGATCGATTGGCTATTTTTAGACACCTGCACTGCATAGTACGTGTGCCGATCGGCTATTTATAGAGGGGTACGTGCATGCAGGTATTGCTGGTTATCGATAGGTAATGCAGCATGGCAGGCGACGTCGCTTGCTTTGCTTGCTTGCGAAGGTGAGGGGGTTTTCTTCGGATGACATTGTTTAGTTCTGTAAAGAAAATCCGACGAGACCCGTGTTGCTCTCTCTCTCTCTCTCTCTCTCTCTCTCTCTCTCTCTCTCTCTCTCTCTCTCTCTCTCTC